CCCGCCGGAGGTTCCGCCCCGGCGGAGTCAAGGCACGCTTGTACCGGCCGCCAGCTCTGGCTTTCGGGCTCTGAAGACTGGCGTGCCCCGTGTTTTGCCTTGTGCCCTTTGAGAAGGCACCACAAACTTTCTCTCGGCTGAGGACAGCTTGTGCTGGGGAGCTCTGCGATTTTTAGATCTCGGGCTTAGTGGTTATTTCTCACCAGCATACGCTGAAATTTAATTTTTGTTAACTTTAAATACTGAGCGATAATCCTGGCCCAGTAATTGGAAAAACTGACATCAGTTTCCTTCTGCTGTATAAAGCAAGCCCAGTCCTACTTTCAGCCTGTTATTTGCCAACATAAGGATTTTACAACCCTCTTTGCTGTTTCAGGAGGTAATATGACCTAAATGAAACCAAACATTAAGTTGTTAAATTAGCACAGACAGGAATCCAGCTGCGTACTTTCTTTGAAATCCTCATTAGCATGTTACCCTGAACCGTAAAATGGCTGAGGGATTCATTTCTGAGAATACTTCAAGGTTTCTCAACAAGCTGCTGCTGCAGATCTATATCTGACTGTAGGGATAAATCCTAAAATCTATGCTTGCCAGTAAGGTCAAGGCAGCCAGCGGAGATGTATCGAACCACACTGTCAGAGGTAGACATTTCAGGCCAAACTCATTCCTGGTGCAGCACTGCTAATTCCTTTGAAGTAACACGAGGGATGAATTTAGTCCCTCATGCTGAAAGATACATCAATAGGAAGCAATTTAGATTGGGCCAATTAAAGTGCATGTAATACAAAAAAAGAGAGAGAGACTGAGGAGTAATGCTTTAAGGGTTCACAGAGGTTGATTTGTGTAAGCTAGGGAGGTTGTAGCATTGCTGTCCCGAGGGAAAGTTGGGGGAATGGGAAATTGCCTTTTATGGCTGAGCCTCCGGTTATCAGGAGAAAGGAAAGTCGTTTTTAGGATTACTGTGTAAATTGGCAGCGTTGCAGGCTGCCCTTGCAGTTACGCTTCAGTCGCACAATGGCACCTGTTCACCTTTCCTCCTCCCCAATTAGCCGGAGACACTCAGCTGCAGAGTTTAAATTTCCTTCACCCACTTTCTCTTTTTCACACAATGCACTACATAATGATGTTGTCTTGAGTTCTGACATCTCAGTTGCGATTGGGGAAGGGAAGATGCAGAGAAATTGGTAACTCGGTTGTAAAACCTTGTTGCCTTGTTCTCTGAAAACCTGAGAATCTGATGGAGCGTATGCAAGGTAACTTCTCACTGAGAGGGTCCTGTCCTTTGACTCACTCTAGGTCCTGATACGCTTCTGTGGGCTTACAGCAGAGAAACTGCATTATCCTCTGTAGCTGTTAGTGATCCTTGCTAAGTATTTTTGGAGCTTTGGACTTTGCCATAGTGATAGACTGCTAGTCTTGTCAGAAAGTAAGCAGTTGTTTGCCCAGTGTAAATTGGCAAATGAATATTTTATTATTTTCTAATGGGTGGGAGGTATATGAATGGAAGATTTGGTCATTCAGAGATTGCAGCCGCTTTTCTCTGGGGATCTCACGTTGTGTCTCCCTTTGGCATTTCAGAATAGCTGCTGGAAAGCTCCCCTGCCGTAGCAGCTGACGCTATGGAAGACCGCATCCGCTGGTCTAGGCTGTAGGATGGTAGCGCACAGCAAGGTGTCAGCAGATAATGCAGTTGCAGCAGACCCAAGACGTCTACTCGACCCTCCGGCACGGGATCGCTCACAGGCTCGAGGCTACCACGGCCCAGGCCGGCCCAGCACTGTGCAGGCACAGAGCAACACGCACTTCCGAACCTTTCGCTCGCAAGCGGATTTTAGTAGCATCACTCGAGCAAGCAGCCTGCTGGATGCCTGTGGCTTCTACTGGGGACCTCTGAGTGTCAGTGCTGCCCACGAGAAGCTGAAGTCGGAGCCCGAGGGCACCTTCCTCATCAGGGACAGCACACAAAAGAATTGCTTCTTTGCCATCAGTGTTAAGACTGCGACTGGGCCCACCAGCATCCGGATAAACTTTCAGACTGGACGTTTCAGCCTGGATGGCAGCAAAGAGACTTTTGATTGTCTTTTTAAACTGCTGGAACATTACCTAAGCTCCCCGAGGAAGGTACTGGTTACCCCCCTGCGCAAGGTCCGTGTGCAGCCCCTGCAGGAG